TTGCTTGAACTGGGGGTTGGACTAGAAGACTTCCCTTGAAGTTCTATCATTCTGTTATATCTGGAGGTTTGTTAAAAACAGATCATGCCAAACCAATCTTATTTCATTCTTCAGCACAGTGACTAAATTAGTAGATCAGCAAAATACTGTGGACATAATATATTTAGATTTCATCAAGGCATTTGATAAAGTAGACCACAACCTACTTCTTAGTAAGCTAGAAAAAAGTGGAATAGATAGCACCACCACTAGATGGATTCGCAACTGGCTGGCAACTGGCTGGCAACTGGCTGGCAAACCATACTCAACGAGTAGTCCTTAATGGGTCTAAGTCTACATGGAGGGAAGTAGGCAGTGGGGTGCCACAAGGTTCCGTCTTAGGCCCAGGACTCTTCAATAGCTTCATTAACGACTTAGATGAGGGAATAGAAGGGGAACTTACCAAATTTGCAGATGATACTAAGCTGGCAGGTATAGCTAACACCCAAGAAGATAGGCTCAAGATCCAGATGGATCTTGACAGACTAGAACACTGGACCATATCTAATAAAATGAAATTCAATATAGAGAAAAGTAAAGTCCTACACTTAGGCAAGAAAAATCAAAAGTACACATATAGACTGGGTGAAACCAGGCTCAATAGCAGTAGCTGTGAGAGGGATCTTGGAGTCTTAGTGGACAACCAGCTAAATATGAGCTAGCAGTGTGCAACAGCTGCCAAAAAAGCTAATGCAATCCTAAGTTGTATTAACAGAGGGATACAGTCAAGTTCAAGGGAAGTACTAATACCACTCTATAAAGCCTTAGTAAGACCACACTTATAAAGCCTTAGTAAGACCACACTGCATCCAGTTTTGGTCACCACATTATAAAAAAGATGTTAAGACTCTAGAAAAAGTACAGAGAAGAGAAACCAGGATGATTAGGGGACTGGAGGCTAAAACATACAACGAACGGTTGCAGGAACTGGGCTTGGCTAGTCTAGTAAAGAGAAGGACCAGGGGCGACATGATAGCGGTCTTCCAATATTTGAGGGGCTGCCACAGGGAGGAAAGGGTCAAGCTATTTTCTAAAGCTCCTGTAGGCCAGACAAGGAATAATGGATAGAAACTGAACAAGGAGAGATTTAACCTGGAAACAAGGAGAAACTTTCTGACAGTGAGAACAATCAACCAGTGGAACAGCTTTGCCTTCAGAAGTTGTGGGAGCGCCATCACTTGAGACTTTCAAGAAGAGATTGGACTGCCATTTGTCAGAAATGGTATAGGGTCTCCCGCTTGGGCGGGGGGTTGGACTAGATGACCTACAAGGTCCCTTCCAACTCTGATTATCTGTATCTGTATCTGAGGTTTTCTTATTGGCTAGGTCTCATGCTGCTACACCACCTGGACAATTTCTGACTGGCTAGGTCTCATGATGTGCCATCTAGTGTATAATACTTGAATGTTGATTTGGGGGAGAATTCTGATTCTTAGATGTCTGCAAAGATTACAAAGTTCAAAACATCATTCTACTCAACATATTTCTTGCCAAGTGGATATTTGGCTACTCTGATACTCCTCCAGTACTATTGTTGAAACTGCCTATGCATTGATACTAATTGATTTTGAACACAACAATTTTCTAGCTTTGTGCTACCCTTTTTAAGGGGTAATAATCAGAAATGTACATGACATACCAAGTGTGTTTTCTTCATAGATATATCCAAAAGTATTATTATACTGGCAGTTATATTTTCAATTCTTTTCCTAACAAATCCCATATATGCAGTTCACCTGGGCTGACATTTTCATTGAGTTGTTAATCAATATCCCTTTTCTGGTTAAAAAAAGTTGGGAATATTTGCCTTAAAATTTTTCCCCTACATTGAACACTTACTGACATCTCTCAGAAAAGATTCAAAGGCATCTGGATTTTATGTTACTCACAGACCAGATTTATTTATATAAAGCACTGATATGGATGGGTAACTCTGGGAGATGTACAAAAAACATCAAACACGAAACACAAAAGAAAACAACACACAACATCAAAAACTGAAACAATTACATGTAGATTGGAACTGAAATATACTATAGACAGTCCTTGTCAAGGTTATGATAGACCCCCAAAAGAGACTTATGACCTGGATTCAAAGTTCCAACATCTGCCTATTCCCATGCTCACATGCCCACATTCTGGGCACACGGCAACTGGATGTTTTATCTTTTTGGTTTGAAGTGTTTTGCTGCTTGTGCAATTAGCTTCTTTAGTCACATACTCCCTTTATAAGCAAAGTTAGATGGCAACTGGCTACAAACTTAAAGAAGTTTGCCAGAAAATTGCTGCAGGCTCCAACTGATGATCTGACTGTAAACTGAAATGATTATTCCTTCTTGTTGCTGATGCCTATTAACCCAACTGCTTTCTAAAAATAATTTCATTAGAGGCACCTAGAATATGCCAGAGCTGGGGAAATTACCTCAAAATCCCTGAGGAAGATATTTCTATAAAGGGTGGTTATGTTTTCTGCTTTCTTCATCTTAGAAACTTTATAATTGCACTCCCCACCCTGTTTCCTCATGTTCTGATGTCTAAATTCTTTTCCTGACTGTTGATTCTAATCATCACCCATGTCTGGATGAAGTGTCCCCTCAACAAAGCACAGAAACTTTGTCAGAATGTAACTAAAAGGAAAAGATCTTTGGGATTTGAAGTCTATTCAGTTTCTGGGATTATATTAATTGAGTAGTGCTTAATTGTAGTCATGTATCATATTTATTTTATTATGTAGCTTATTGCCCTTTTGTTGCATTGACTGCAAGAGTTGCTTTTGTATAACAATTAGAATTGCCTTACTGAACCAGTTTCTACATTCAATAAATGAAAATTAATGAATAGAATTGAAGATTCCATTTTAAATCCCATTTAAAACAAGATCTCAATTCAATTCAATGTTTGAAAAGGATCTGCAGGGATACCTTGCTTTCAGATTTTGGGCACAAAGAACATAGGCAAAAGGCTGAGGGTGAGGAAAAAAGGAAAGAGAAAAGAAATTTTAAAAAAGCAGAATTCACACTTAAGTGGCTGTCCTTTAGAGGTAATAGCATCCAGTTATGAAGCTTTAGTGGATGTTGTAGGCTGTCTTTCACTGAATAATCTACTTAACAGAATAAATCAGTTCCTCAACTTTATCAACTTTAAAATGTGTGGACTTCAACTTCCAGAATTCTCCTACTCCTGGAATTCCATGCTGGCTGGGGAATTGTGGGAGTTGAAGTCCAGACTTCTTGAAGTTGCCAAGCTTGAGAAATACTGGAATAGATGCATGACAAAACTGGAGGATGGATATGTCAATGGCTACGGGTGACCTCAAATGACTATGAATGAATAAAAATAAAGTAAATATCCTTTAAGCTGCATTTACCCTATTAACAGAACTGTAACACTATGGGTGCATTAAAAGACTTCCTGCAAGACTGGTTTGATTCTTCGGCATAAAACTGGAAATGTGGGAAACAGAATCTGAAAACAGCAGGTACAACATTGTGCGGATGATTAAATCTTTTCTCTGTCAATTGTTTTTCTAGCTCAGTTTGAAGCACTACTCTAAAAATTTGATTTAACTGTCCGAAATGTAATTTGTGAACAGGTTGCTAAGCCATTTTACTTTTAAGGGATCCCTTGTTCAGTTGATGCTCATCAAAGAATGGCTTTTTAATTGTTCAGAGGTCCTCACTTTGCAACCACAACTGAGATCGGAATTGCAGTTGTGAGTTGTTGTGGTCATTAAGCAAGATGCCCACATGACTGCTTTGCTCAACAATCACATTCCTAAAAGTCTATGGAGATTCCCAGTCATCCAGGTCATGGTTGTCGCAAAGGTGCTTTTTCAGGAGGCAACTGGACTTTCTTGTTTTTTATTGTTTTTACTTCTCATCCAAGAAGCTTCTTCAGCAACCTTCCATTCCCCACCATCCAGTCCGAGCTGAAGAAGCTTCTTGGATGAGGAGCAAAATGTCTTCAAAGAAAAAACAAGGAAGTCCAGTTGCTTCCTGAAAAAAGCACCTTTGGGACAATCTCATTCCTAGCATTTTTAAGCGAGCATGCAAGTTGTTGAGCAGGGTTGCCTCAGACCCTGGGAGGCCCGGTGCAGACCAAGCATGAGATGGAGAGGTGCTGCAATGCAGTACAAAGCTTCAGCTGTCCCAGACTGGCCCTGCAGTGCAGCACTTTTGGTGGAAGCACTGGGCCTAGCCCTGAAGTAGAAGCCTGGGGCCTTCAGCAGTCAGTTCAGCTGCCATCACCCAGGCCTCAATTTCATTAGTCCTAGCGTCACCACTGCCGTTCAGAAATGCCAGCTCACATTGTTCTCCAAGGCGTCTGACCACTGGGGAATAGCATGATTGGCCCCATCACCCCAGTGCTCCCAAGATTATGCCAGACATAGTTTACCTTCAGGTGTTTTTCTCCTGCTGTTGAGAGTCTCAAGTGGCCCATCCAATGCAGCTTCTGGTTGCACCAGGCCTTCTTCCCCAAAGCCGCCTTTGGAGCCAATTCCAACAGAGCTTTGAAAGTATTTTAAAGCATCATAGGCCTACATGAACATCTCAATAGCAGGAGCAAACTGACTGGAATGTCCAGCTGATCTTGGGGTGGGTTGTGCGGTGGGGACAATTGCCTAGTTTTCCAAAGCTCATGTGTTTTGGAAAATGGCATAATTGCCTCGGTTTTATGCTGCCTACCTTCAAGGGCCCAAAATTTTAGCACATGACTGCAGGGCTCCTGCAATATTGTAACTCTGGGCAGAATAACAGAGTTGGAAGGGACCTTGGAGGTCTTCTAGTCTAACCCCTGCTCAAGAAGGAAATCCTATAACATTTCAGACAAATGGTTGTCCAATCTCGTCTTAAAAACCTCCATTGTTGGAGCACCCGCAACTTCTGGAGCCAAATCATTCCACTGATTGATATTCTAACTGTTAGGAAATCTCTTCTTAGTTCTAGGTAGTTCTAGGCAGCATAGTCATCATTCCCTATCACCTTCATAATTTCAAATGGTGGTTAAGGGAGGTCATATGCACCACCAAAGACTTTGTGACAAACCTAACTAATGAATTTTTAGTATGCTCTTCTCTTATTACTACAACTATTAGAAATGTATCAAGGCATATTTACTATAACCCATCTTATTCATTTGCATTTGACCACTTGATTCAATGGCAATGGATTTTAAATGATAAAAGGTTATGAAATCTTGAAATCTAATCATGGAATAACAACAACAACAACAACAATAACAATAGTAATAGTAATAGTAATAATAATAATTGACAAATTCATTGTCAGTCAATTGCAAAAGGCAGCTGTACTCGGAACAGCTGACATCCCGTGACGATACCTCTAACATCATAAAACATCAGGTCCTCAGGAAGAACTTGATAAGTGGACAAAAATTCCAAATACAGTCTGAATATTTGGCTAACTGTACGATGAATCAATAATTAAAAATGTCTAATCCAGCCTAAACATTTGCCTGACTATGCTTCGAGCTATAATAGATCAAAAAATGCATTCCATTCAAGCCATAATTCAGTTAGTCAGTCTTTGGCAAAAAGGTACTTACTGAAGACATTCATCTTGTTAGCTTGTAGACTGTCAATGGCAATGCTTGGAAGAAGATTTACTGATGCTATGCAAAGTGCTCTAAACACTTTGATTCACTTGTTGAGAGGATGCTTTGGAGAATGCTTTTATACCCTAACCTTCTCCCCTACACTTTTATCTTCTCCTCCCATTCTAATTATACAAGGAACAAGGAAATCAACTCTCTTGAATTTACACCAGGGGTGTGATTTAACCGGTGTAACAACCAGTTCAGTGAGTACATGCTTTGCGCGCGTGCATGCCAAATGGGTGCTTTGTGCATGCGCAGAGGGTTTGCTACTGACCTTCTCCTGCAATCCTGCAATCCCCCTGTGTGTTAAACAACTGACGCATGGCAATCCGCTGTGCTGCCCGAAGCAGCTGAGATTGAAAAACAGGAAATAAAGGTCAGAATAGAGCCAGGGTGGGCGGGCGAGCCCAGCAGCGGATCGTCGGAGCGAATCGGTTGGCTTGCAGATGTTCCTCAGAGCTACCAGTTTGGCCAACCTGGGCCAAACCAGTAGAATCTCACCTCTGATTTATACCTACAAGGAACCTACATGAAAGGTTCTGAGAACTATTCAGGAATTTTAGATGCTGCTTATACATCTGTACCTTATTTGTTTCAGCTGACTATCATTTCACATCCAAAATCCTCTTGCAATAATCTAAATAGTTTTAAAAACTTGATTAAACAAGATGGCTGAGGAATTCTGGGAGTAAAAAGTCTGCACATTTTAAAGATGCCAAGGTTGAAAAACATTGATCTACAAGAACCTTTCTCAACCTTTTTATCCTAGAGGAACCCTTATAATAAATTTCAAGTTTTAAGGAACCCCTGTATAAAGGTCACAAAACTATAAAAGCAATACAGTTAACTTCTAGCCTAAATAATACATATTTTACAAGAGTTACAACACCAACATAGTAACAGGCTAGCAGTTAAATTATAGCACTTAAATATGTCCATTAGAGTGAGCAAGTGTGCAAAGTTTAAAAAAATCAGATTTACAGGCTTTTTCTGTGACAAACTCTTGCAGAATCTCTGGATCTGAGGAATTGCAGTTGAGAAAGGCTGAAGTATTAATAACCTATGAATTCCCACCAAACTCCCCCTTGAATTTTCAGATTGGGATTATTCGAAAATAAATTTAGTATATTGATAAGGGTCAAAATTATACAGCTGTTCCAATATCCTCCAAATATACTTTGTAAACCTTAATATAATTAACCTAAATAGAGAACAATTTTGATTAAATTCTGACGTGATTCAAGAGAGGTCCTACAATATATTTAACTGTGTCCATAGTGGGCTTTGGACTTAATTGCCTGGATTTTTTAGAAAAATACAGGTCATATATATGGCCAATGAAAAAGAAAAGCAAGCTGGAAAGATAAAAAATCCTGTTATTGTATTCTAGCTATAATTAAGATAATGAAAATTCAATCATTTGTCATTCCATTAAATTGATGGCACATAATCA